GCACAAATTCCTGCGGGGCTCCGCAGTGCGAGGCTGGGTGACCCCGGCCCTGCCCCGGCTCCCCCAGGCCTGGCGAGGAGGGGCTGCACAGGCAGCAGAAGCCTCCGCGCCCCGCGGAGCCGATGCACCCCGAGCTCGTGGCCGGGACTTCTGGCCCCACGCTCCCGGGGAAGGCGCCCGGCTGTGGGAACATCTCCCCGATCGTCCCGGCTGCTGGGACACTGCGGGATGTCACAGGTCTCGCTTGCTGGGACACTGCGGGATGTCACGGGTCCCGCTGCAGCGTCACCGAGCCGCACGAGCCGTTCCCCGGGGATCGGCCGGGACGCTGCTTTGGCCGGCGCTCGGACTGCTCCGGCGGCGTTTGTGCGGCTCTGGGGCCGCGGGGGAAACGATTGCAGAGGGAAGAGGAGAAGTAGAACAGGGCAGGAGGCGGATCCCCTGTGCTGATAAGAAATTGTCCAGGTCTTCCATAGGAATCTGCAGGTTTAGGCGTGTGGGAAGGGTTTGAACAGCTTTTCCTACAACACGGAGAACCTACTCAGTGAATCGCTGTCCTGAATTAATTTCAGGATACAAAAGAATTCGCCTTAAATTGGTTGGAAGGCAATAATTTGGGCAGCAGCAGGGTGCAGGGCTCAGAGGCTGCAGGGGCTGGGTGGAAGAAGAGCTTTCCTCTTGGAGGGTGGTGAGATGGTTACAGTCTGTGAGAGCCTCAGTGGGGGGAAGAGCTCCGTTACCAAACCCGAGAGCTGTAAGTGACAGCTGGAAGCTAAAAGCAGGGAATTTAAAAATAGAAATATGGGACAAAATGCTAAAGTGAGAGATATGGGCTTAGGGAGCAGCAACCATGGTTTCTTTTTTGCCACCTCTCCCTCCTCACTCAGAGCCACCAACCCAGCCCAGCCCAGTCCTCCTTGGACATTTCCCACTGTGGCTGTCACCGCTTCATCCCGGTTTTCTCCTTCACCCCAAATCCTCATTTCCAACCACCCCTGTGGTGTCCCCAGGCCATCACAGGCCCAGGTCTGGGGGTGGCCCTGTGCTCTTCCAGCCACAACACACGCTCAGCTCTTCATCCCCTCCCCAATATTTCCCCAAAGATCAATCAGGAAATTATTTTACCATCTCTGAGATCCATCAAGGGAAGTGGTTCCCCTCATTCAGCCCTTGTAGCAAACCAGAACTAACATTTTTCCTTTTACATTTTTGTCCCTCACAGCCTTTTCTTTCCCTTTCTTGAGCAGTCACTGTTTCATGCCAGTCTTTGCCCCGGAAGGATCTGTCATCACTGCTGGCTGTTCCAGAGCCCTCACAGCACCCAGCTGCCCCCTCCCTCCCCATGGCACAACGGGGCTGGAGACAGCAGGCAGCGTCCTGCCCTTCCACAGGATACTGCAACTGAAACCAGAGGCCAAACAGCCCTGGGTTTGTTCCAGGGGTGGCCCTGGAGAGGGGGCAAAGGGTTTGAACCATCCTCGAAACTGCTTGACAGGATTGGAAAGGTTTAACCCCTTCCTGCCCCACAGAGACAGCTGGAAGCGGTGGCAGGAATAGCTCCTGGCCCTCAGCCTGGCTCGATAACACTCCCGGGGCTCCCTGGGGAATAAAATAATTCCAGTGTGGTGAGGAACAGGCAACAGTGCCAAGGCAAATGGCCCGGATTGGGGTGTGGGGGCGGGCCTCGGGACAGACCTCTGCCCTACCCCACTGCCCTGCCAGGGACGGCGCTGCCAGAGCTCGCTGGGCTCCGATCCATTTTCTCTGCCACGCAGTGATGTCTCAGCAGTTCCTCCCTGACAGGGCAGCACAAAAGCCTGGCAATATCCTGTTGTGCCAAGGCATCCGGCACAATGACCCATCTGCCTGTGGGCAGCATCTGGCTGGCACCTGGCAGGGATCCGAGTGGGGCCTGACCCATTTGGCTGCTGTGGGAATCTGCAGTATCATGGATGTGGCATCTCCCCAGGCTGGAGGGAACTGGGGCACATCCTTATGCCAGCACGGGGCTGATGGATCACAGGCACTTCTCAGGACTCAGTTTCTCCCTCGGTGCACTGGTAGCACTGCCAGCCCCCTTCCCAACCTGCTTGGAGTGACCGGGGTGGGATGTGCTCAGTGGGAATGGGCAGTCCACAGGGAAACAGCCTTTCCTTTATCCACTCTCTGGGATTTGCCCATTTAAGTTACCTTCTGGGATATTTTCTGTGCTGTGTCATTGCTGCTGAGCATCTCCTGCCAAGTCCAGTTAGGGATGCACCACCCTGCAGAAGTCTGGGGCTCCTTGCTCCCCAGATGGCTTCCCAGGGCCGTGTGTCCCATTAAATGGGAGAGAAACTGAGCACAAGTCACAGACCAGCTGTGTCCTGAGTGAGGTCCCCAGGGCTCTGTGTCACTGGCACACACAGAATGGTGGCCCCAACAGTATAGGGTGACCATCACTCCAAAACATCTCAACACAGTGGAGGCCTTCTTGGAAAAGCTCCAGGGTTTCCCTTTGTTTGATGCTTCTCTTTGCCTTGTGCCATCCTGTGTGGACCCACCAGACCGTGGCACTCAGGGGATCACTCATCCTAATTAATGTCTCTCAGAGCCATCAGCCCTCCAAGTGCACATCCCTGTGCTGCTGGCACCACTCACACTCCTAATTAACTTTCCTAGTTAAGAGGCCCCTTTCCATGACCAGAAGTGCTGTGGGATGGTCACCATGATGAAGAGGAGGAGAAATCCTCAACTTCTCCTGCCCTGATTGCCCAGAATGGCACCATGGAGCTGCTGTTTGTGCAGGTAAACTAAGGCAGGAGGGGGAAGCTCACACCCCAGAGAAAAGCTGAAGAAAGATGGGCAGAAATAACTCCCCATGCCCTGACTTGTCTCTCTGGGAAAGCATTTCTTGCCAGGCCCTGGGGGTTCAGTCAGGGTTTGGTCTCATCAACCGGCCCCAACATGCCACAGCCTCGGGTGCATCCCACTGGCATCAAGCCAGACATCAACCATCCCCTCCTGCCATGGCCACAGGCTGCTCCTGTCCCCAGCTCACAGGAGCTGGTGCAGGAAGCCACACCATGCCCCTTGTTTGTCCCACTTCATCCCACCCCTCCCTGTGTGATGCCAAGGGTATTTATCTGTAGCAGCATCATCCAACACCTTGTGGTCTTCACAACCCATTGCAGCTGTCAGGACATTTTCTCCTTAAAACCACCAGAAAGAGCCTGGCAGACTTGAATAACTTTCCCAGAAAATTATTTTTCATGGGTTTTTAAGGAATCCCTGACACTCTTCAGACACATCCCCAGCTTGGTGTCAGCAGAATGAGCTGATGATCCCTCTCTATCAGGAATGGGCTCTGTATCAATTTGGTCATCCAACCCTTGCAGTCTTTGCCCATGCCCTGGGACACTTTGCTTGGGCTGGTGAGAGAGCTCAGAAACCCTCTGGTAGGTTCACAGCCAGCAGATAACACAACAGGGGGTGTTATGTTTGGCATAACATGGGGGGCTTTAGGGTTGCTGCTAAAATTGAGCATTCAAGGAAAAAAATCCAGGGAGGGAGAACAAACTGCAAATCCACAAAGGAAAAGGAGTGGTTTTAATCTCTGTTTGGGCCATTTGCATACAATTAGGCCGGGCCCTGCCTGCGTTTGCTTCCGCATTGCACTCCCGTGAGGAACCTGCTGGTTTTCCTGCCCTGCTCCCAGCCAGAGGTTGATTGCAAGGACACTCCCCCTGGGAAGGTGGTGGGCGAGGGGTTTTGGGCTCTCTGGGAATGCCCTTTTCACTCTCAGTAGCCCATCCTGAGCACCCCCATCCCACCCCTACCTCTGGATTTATGCTCAGCCATAGGGGGCATCACTTTTCCCTGCAGTGGAGGAGGTGTGAGGAGATGCTGCAGGATGCCAACGCTCCATAAATAGTGCTGTTTACAGGAGCTTGTGAGCCTCGGTTTATTTTTCTCTCTGCACAGCAAACAGATCATTCAGACCAATCTAAGCTCACCTCGCCCTGCTGCTGGCACAGCCCAGTGCCCAGAGGTGGCACAATGCCACAGTTCCCAGACAGTCCTAGGATGCTGGGACCCCCAGCTCTTTGCTGGCCACTTGCCCAAGGGGGAGAGCAGGCACCCCATGGAACAGCAGCTGATGGAAAATCAGCCCTGGATTGGGATGGTCCCACAGCTGATTCCATCCCTGCTGTGGGGTGTGCAGTCTCTGATGAAGACAGGGATGAGGGGCAGCCCCAAGGGGCAGATCCAAGGGTTGGGACATCTCTCACAAAGCAGAGCAGAGCAGGGGACAACTCCAGTCCCAAGTCTCTCTAGAGGAGGGAGAAAGGACTGGGAGAGGTGCAGATGGGGGTTGGGAGAGACCCCTTGCCCCATGTCTGAGGTCGTATTCCTTGCAGCATTTGGATAAACCAGCCACACTCCTGGGAAGTGATTTATGTAAGATGAGCTTTGCAGGTGCCTGGCGCACATCCGGAGGTCCCTGGAGGGAGTGGGGGGTTCAACTCCATCAGTGAGATCGAGCCTGCAGACCCATTCTCTCTGTACTGCCTGGCCCGGAGAGGGGAACTGGGGGGTGACCATATTCCCCCAAACTTCTCCTAGAACCTTAAAGAGTGTCTGGTCCAGTCTCAGCAGCAGTTCGGGGCCGCCTTGTGTGGACAGACCCTTCCCCTGCCGCAGGGACACAGCCCCCCCCCCCAGCCCGGCGGGTGCAGTACGGAGGATGCAGAGCGCTTTCGGGGTCTCACTCCCCGCCCACCCCCGCAGTGATTTTGAGTGAGGCAGTGCCAGCCAGAGCCCAGGCGAGCACCAGAGCTTCTTGAGGCCGTTCGGGTCTGACTTGCGGTCCCGACGCCGTCCTGGGGCACAGCCCCGAGCGGCGCTGCCCGTGCCGGGGACGGGCCGGGTCCTCGCCCACCCCAGCTCAGGCTCTGCCTCCGCCCTTCCCCTCCCGTCCCGATCCTCTGCTCACACCCGACCTCAAAAACCGGTTTTAGCGTTAAACCCGGAGCCCGACTGGTGGCGGCAGCGTTGGGGCTGGGTCTGGCTCCGCTGCTCCCCCCGCTGCCGCCTCTCCCCGCTCCACCCGGTCCGGCCGCCTCCGCCCGGCCCCCTCGCACCCCCTCCCCCGGTCCTTCCCGGTGCCGGCGAGCCCCGAATCGGGTCAGTCGCTCTTTAAAGGCTGGAAGGCGGCACCATGTGATGCTTCGGCTCCGGCGGGGAGGGGGCAGCGCCTGCGGGAGCCGAGCGGTGTCGGGCACCGGGGACCGAGCGCAGCCCCGGCGGCCGCGGCCAGCCCGGTCCCCGGCGGCCGCAGGGTCCCCCCGGCCGCCCCCGGCATGAGCCCCGCCTTGCCCTGGGGGGAGACAGCGCTGGCTCTCTGAGGGTGAGAGCACCCCAAAACAAGCCCTGTGTTTGCAGGACAAGGTGAGAGGGGTCGGGGCCGGGCGGCGGCTGCCGGGACTCGGGACTCGGGTGACTGCAGGAAACAGCGCAGAGCAGGGAGGGGATCCAACGAGGGGACAGAGGGAGCCCCGAAAGGCTCCGACAGAGGGCCCCGGGGCGGCCCGGGGGGCGGGGGGCTCTGCGCTCTCCCAGGACTGACCGGCGGCTCCAGCTCCCTCTTCAGCGCCGGGAGCGGTCGCGCTGCGGGACGGAGGTGGGTGCAGGATGAGCTCGGGGGGCGGGGGACCCGGAGCCCAGGCGGATGGCACAGACGGGAGAGGGGTTTTTCCCACCCCCTCGCACAGGCTCCATCCCGCTCGCAGCTCAGTCAGCGATGCCACTCTCTCACCGCCTCCCTGTGCGTTTGCAGGTGACCGAGGACCCCCACGGGAGCAGGGCGGACCGGAGCATCATGGCACACCCCATCTCAGCCTTCCAGGCTGCCTACATCTCCATCGAAGTGCTCATCGCTTTGGTGTCCGTGCCGGGCAATATCCTGGTCATCTGGGCTGTGAAGATGAACCAGGCACTGCGGGATGCCACCTTTTGCTTCATCGTCTCGCTGGCCGTGGCCGACGTAGCCGTGGGGGCTCTGGTCATCCCCCTGGCCATTATCATCAACATCGGACCCCAGACGGAGTTTTACACCTGCCTCATGGTGGCCTGTCCCGTCCTTATCCTCACAGAGAGCTCCATCCTGGCGCTTCTGGCCATCGCCGTGGATCGGTACCTGCGGGTGAAGATCCCTGTCAGGTAGGAAAAGGCGTCAGAACCAGCTCTGCTGTGGATGTTATAAGGGAGTGAGGCTGGGCAGGGCGGTGTGGGGTTGGGTGTCCTGGAGCCTCCAGCAGCTTCTTTTGGGGGCTCAGGGGGTGCTGGGTGTGCAGGCAGAGATCACATTGTGGCAGCTAGCTGGCAGTGAGGGACAGCCACGGGATGCCCATGGCCAGGACAAAGTGTGTCCCCACACATAGGACAGTCCCAGCTGGGTGCTCCAGGAGGAAAGCAGATGACAGGTTTGCCTTTCACCCCAGCTTTTTCCTTGCCATGGGGAGCACAGGGTTGGCTTGCTATGGGACACAGATTTGGCAGTTTGAGGAACCAGAGGTGACAGCCTGGCACATTTCATGGGGCAGCTTCACCCAGGACAGACCTCTGCTATGGGGTGCCCCACAAATAACTCCTTTCCCCGTTTTGCCCCTTCTGTATCTGTTGCCATTCCAAGCCCAGAGCAAGTGCCTCGTGGCGTAAAGGAGAGGGACACTTTATTTGAGCACTTTATTTGAACTCTGCCGCTCCAGGAGGAGATAGTTAACCCTTTATGCCCCACTCCCTTCCCACCGGGGCCATGCTGGTTTGGGGAAGCATTTCTGGGGTGCCACGGTGGTACCGGGGGCTGTGAGTGGGACTAGAAGGGGACACGACACCTGATCCCAGTGTCCCCAAGCAGAGCCAGGCTCAGCCCCTCGCTGTGAGTGCCCCTCGCTCTGTGAGGATGCCTTTGCCAGGCTCTGCAAGGCTCTGGATGTGGGAGCCCAACCCAGCTGAGCACTCGTGTCACCCCATTACCCCTTAGCAGTAGAGGCAGTTCGCTGGAGGGGTCCCAGACCCTTCATCAGCACAAACACCCCAGAAAGGCATCAACCCCCTTGTGTTGGTTGTGTTCTACATCCCAGCAGGTGTAGAACCCTTCCTGGGGCAGGAATTGCCTTCCCATACAGGGAGACAGGGACAGAAGGCGCCCCAGGAGTGTTGGGGATCACCTGACTGCTCTAGAGTGCTTGGTGTTCCCAGATCCGTGGGATCAGGCCCAAGATTGTTCCTTTGGGCTTTTGCCGCAGCCACCACCAGCACAGGTGGAGAGGAGAAGGAGTGTAAGACAGAGGAGGGGGCCCAGGATAAACCCACAATCCCTGCCCACCTCCTCCTTGCCACACATGATCTTCACAGACTGTTCCCGACTTCCTCCCTAGGTGTGATTTTCCCAATCCCTGTCTCCCAGCCCGCCGGTGTCACCAGAGTGATTCCCACCCTGTCACTGCTCTTGGAGCTTTTTTGGGCTTCGCACATCCCCTGCATGTGGGGAAGGCTCTGGTGTGGGAGTTCTGCGGCTCCACAGGAGCAGCACAGCCTGTCAGGCATTTTCCTAACAAACCAGTCCATTTTTAACTCCTTGTCTGCCTCTGAGCATCAGATGGGCCTTTCAGGGGAGATTCCTGTCCTGATCCCAGGAGCTTTCCTGGGAGCAATATTAATATTAATATTAATATTAATATTATGCTGTACATAGTTTGGGTGGTTTTTTCTTATGCAATTTCCACCCTGAATTTTGTGATCCCATTGTGTCCCCAAGCACTCAGCAGCAGGAGATTTTCCTCTGTCTTTTCAAAGCCTATATTAATATTGAAAAGCTTTGTAACCTCATCAACGTAATAGATGCACTCAAGTATCTGAGAGGTCTTTCCCAACCTTAGAGATACTACAACTTCATGAATTCCTGGCAGTTGGTACATGTGGAGATTTTAGGAGATGTAGTGCAGTTGGTACATGTGGGGATTTTAGGAGATGTAGTGCCCTGTATATAGCACAAAGGACAGGAAACACCACTAAGGAATATTTCCTGAATCTGAAATGCCTCAGTTTCTCCCAGTCTGTTGCAGGATGCTAAAGATGAGAGTGACAGCATTTTTGCAATGCTCATGGCTCTTGTGGTGTCGTTCCTGAGCGTGACACTGAACCCAGTGATGGCAAAGTGGGTGCTGAGAGCCTGGAGCACCTGGCAGGACTCAGGGCCCTGGGGAAACATGTGTGGCCACTGTGCTGGGAGAGCTCTGGGAGAGCTCCAAGCATCCCTGGAGGGCCACAGGCAATGATGGCAGCCAGACCTGAGCAGAGATTTGCAGGCAGGTGGGGAGGCACATGGGGAATATCTGCCTCAGGCTCATCCCTAGGGCAGCCAGGACACTGAGCAGGGCAGCCCCTGCAGCACAGACATGGACAGTGTGCTCACTGCAGCCCATTCCTGTGCCAACAGGATTCCTCAGACGAGCCTGGCACAGGGTAGATCCTCGCCAGTGACCCACATGAGGCTGGGGGGGGGGGGCCTTTGGGGCAACCCGGGGGGGGGGGGGGGGGGTCTTGTGGGCATCCCCAACATTCCAGCCCTGCCCCCCACCCACAGGCAGCCCTGGTGCTGCTGAGGCTCAGGGAGAGGGAAATGCATTTCACAGAATCACAGAATCCCTGAAAGGTTTGTGTGTGAAGGGACCTTACCCTGCCACAGGCTGGAACACCTTCCACTGTCCCAGGTTGCTCCAAGCCCCTTCCAGCCTGGCCTTGGACTCCTTCAGGGATGGGGCAGCCACAGCTTCTCTGGACAACCTGTGCCTTCCTCACAGGGAAGAATGGCAGGGAATGGGGTACATGGTGCATGGCAGCCTGGTTCCAGCTCCAGGCTCCCCATGGACACCCTGCCCTTGGGCTGCGAGTTTGGGAACTTGGTATCCCCAGGAGTGGATTTCTCCCGGAAAAAATGGTGCCCTGAGACATTTAGGATGTCTCTACATGGCAGTGGGAGATGCCAAAGCAGCATCCAGTGCTGCATTGCTCCAGTGGCAACTTCCCATGGACACAGAAGCACAGAGGGATGTGGGCCACCCCTGCAAGGTGAAGTCAGATTTTTTCAGATGAAGAGGGGTCTTGCTTGGATTTGAGTTGGCACCTCCTGTTCTTCCTTCTTCACCCAGCATGGTCAAGGGACTGGGATATCCCACCAAACCCTCTCCATTTGCTCCAACCTCTGGGTGAGATCCCTCCTGGCTGCTGGGCCCTGAGTGATGCTGCCTCCCCCAGAAGGGGCCTTGCCCTGATTTTGGAGGGATGAAGGAGTATCACTTGGGCTAAGCAGGCTAGAGCAGAGGGTCCCCCACTTCCCAGCCCCCACAGGAACAGCTGGAAACCACCTAAAATAGATTTGCTGGTGGAAAACTCCCCCTCCCCTCTCACATCCTTCCTCCCTGCCCGGCAGCCAGGCAGGACCCCCAGCCTGTGATCCCCCCCATCCGGGCACAGCGGGGTCCCTCAGCCCAGCCCAAACTTCCCTCTCACAGCCGTGCTTGGGGAACATGAAACGAGTTCAAAGGGAGGGGAAGCAGCCAGCTGGGGGTGTCTGGCAGGAACCGGCCCCTCAGCATCCCGGTGGAGGCAGGATGCTGGAGGAGACGGACCTGGAGGGATGTTTGGTGACATGCAGCTTCTTCAGCACCAGCCTCTGCTGCCTCAGGGGCCCTGTATCTGCTCTGAGACGTGTTTTGGGCCTTTTGGAAAGGGCCATAGCAAAAGGAGTTGCTGTCCTTGGGATGTGCCAAACCACTCCTTGGCTGGGGATGCTGAACCTGTGGATGCAGCCCAAGCCTATCTTGGAATGTCCCTGGGGGTCCTCACTTTGTGACCTCACCCCAAACACTTTGAAACATGCCAGGAAGGGAAAACCTGCAGGAATCTGATGTTTGCAGGAGCCCTCGTGTTGGAGTCTCTCTGTCCACAGGCAGGACCTCCACCCTCTGTGCCTGGGCCTAAGCATTGGGGTATCCTCCCAGCCCTGCCCTTCCCACCCTGCAGCATCCCAAGGAGCATCCTGTCAGGGAGAGCTGCCTTTGGTGTTCCTGAAGGTTTGGACTGCACACCTGTGAGGCTGCAGAGCCATGGAAGTTAGATCAGAATGGTTGGAACTCTCTAGGAAATGGGGGTCAGGAGGCTGGAGCGCAGCAGGAGGAGAGCCCAGGTAAAAGAAGCAGTGTCAGGGGGTGGCTCTGTAGACAGTGCTGGCCTTGTCTGGTGGTTCAAGAGTGCCCTGTCTGGAATGAGATAAACAGCTCAGGGATGGCAGGAACATCCCTCAGCCCTGGACTGCAGTGCCTGCAAGGCAGGAAGTGAGGGGGATGTGCAGGGGACCTGTGAGCTCCTGGATGGACATGGACAAGGAGGGGGAAGGGGGAAGCTTCTCCCCTGGACTCCCTGTTTTCCAGGCTCCTGCCTGAGCTCAGGCTCTTCCTGGGATTGTAGTGCTCTTTCCCCTTCTCTCCAGTCCTGCCAAGGGCCACAGGCATGGGGCCAGCTAGGGCTGGGTCATGGTAGGCCTGGGAAGTCTTTTTGCCCTCAGCCAGCTGGGTGCTGGAGCAGGACACATCTGAGGTGGCTTTTCCCCATTCCAGGTGTCCCAGAGAAGCTGTGGCTGCACCATCCCTGGAAGTGTCCAAGGCCAGGTTGGACGGGGCTTGGAGCAGCCTGGGATAGTGAAAGGTGTCCCTGCCCATGAGTGGAATGAGGTGGACTTTTAAGGTCTCTTCCAACCAAACCATTCCAAGACTCCTCCACCAAGAGTTCGTGGAGGGGAGCGATGGGCACCCGCTGCCATGGGATGGGCGAGGAGGAGAACGTTGGGATGATTAGGTGCAAATTCCCAGCTCCCAAAACATCTAAGGGCCCATGGGACATCTTTCCAGCACTCTCAACACTTAGTGCCAGAAAACCTTCCTGTCCGGCCAGGCCAGAGAACAAGCCAAACCACAGCTCTTCCAAGGCCTGTTTTACATTTGGAGGAATTGCAAAAGCATCCAGGTGACTCAGAGCTCTCAGCCTGGAGCTCATCTATTTTCTTTTGACCTCCACTAGTCAGTGAAAAGATGCCATCCATCCATACAGGCCCAGTCCCTGAGAAAGCACATTTCCTTTCCAAGGAGAATACATTCATT